TTGCATCTAAATCATCATGTTGTTAAACTAAAATTTTATTTTTGGCTTTTAAATCCCTAACTTATTTTTATAATTGATCAATATTGTCAATATATTAAGCATTTTCTTTTTTTTGATTTGATAATTATGATTTTAAAATACTATTTTCTTCTCTTAATTTGATCATTTCTTTACTAATTTTTTCAATTTTAGCTTCTAAGATATCCATATCTTTATGTTATGCATCAGTTAATTATTATGATTGTCTTTGTAATCTTTCTAATTATTCTTTATATTTTTCCATTTCTTCTTTCAAAAATGTATTTTATCTTTATTCAGCATGTAATAATCTAATTTATTCATTAAATTGTTATTCTAAATTATCAATTTAAGCATTCTTTTTTTTAAGTTCTTCATTATGAGATTGACCATATTATTTTTCATTTGCATATTAATTATTAAGATCTCTTATCTATTTACTCATTTTTTCAAATTATTATTCATAATCATTTATTTCTATTTCTAATCGTTTGCTAAAAAAAGATTAAATTAATAAAATTACTTTTAGTCTTCTAATTATGGAATTAATCTAATTGATTTTTCATATTAAATTCTTAATTAATCATTTTCTTATTAAAGAAACTTATTATCTTTTTTAATTCTTTCGCTTTCTAAACTTAAATTCTTTAGTTTTAATTCTAATTCTGAAACTCTTTCTTTAATTTCTCCACTTCTTTTTTTTTATTTATCAACATCAATCATTTTTTCTTCTAACTGAACTTATAATTATTAATCCATTTTCTTTTTTAATTTTTAGATTCTAATTTATTATTCTGAAATTGTTTCTTCTTTAGTTAATAATTTATTTTCTAATAATGTTATTTATGTTCTAAGTGTTCCTATTTCTTTTTATAATATATCAATTTCTTAATTTAATTATCCACTTACTTTTTCTAAAGTAGTGTTTGTATCAAAATGTTATTTTATTTTAGATTAATCAGTTAACATTTATGTTAATTTATCAATTTGAATCTATAATTTTTGATTATTAAGTCTTTCTGCATGTCTAATGATTATAATAAATTCATACACATTCTCTTTATAAAAGTCTGCTTGTCTTTCAAGTGCACATTTTTCATTTTACCAATTTCTTTTTTCTTCTTGCCATTATACTTATAATTCAATGATTTCTTCTTTCATTTTAGCTAAATGATCATTTTTTTTCAAAATTTTGAATTATAATTTATTGACTACATCACGTAATTCTTCATCACCTTTATGATTAAAAGATGAGTCATTATGAACACTCCTTTTTCTTTCATTTCCAGAATCACTACGTTTATTAGATGAAAAACTCTTTTTTGTTGGCTATCGTTACATATTAAATTTAATGTCTAAATAAATTGTACACCATTAGTCATAAAGTCTTTGGAATTATACATTATCACCAGGTACTTCTATATTTTTAATATTTAAGGATGGACAATGAAAGAAGTAGAGATTCTGAACTTGGCATTAATGAAATTTGGCATAGGAAAATGGCGCAAAATTATAAACTCTGAGTGTTTACCTGGTAAGAGTATAGGATAGATATATATGCAAACATAAAGATTATTAGGGTAATAAAGTTTAGGTGAATTTATGGGTTTGTCACTTGATCTTAAGAAAGTTTATTTACATAATATGCAAAAAAAGAATGTATTTAGAAAAAACAATTCAATTATTAATACAGGTGATAATATGACTTAAGAAGAAAGGAAGAAGAGAATAGATGAAAATAAAAAGAATGTATTATTTGATTATTTTTTAGTTTGGCATAAGTCCTGCTGATATTGTTTTAATTAAATTACCCAGATATCATGTTAATTCATAAACTTCATTTCTTTCTCATGATGAAATCTTGGAAGGTAATTTTACAACAGTAGAAAAGATAAACAATCTTTGTGAATTGAAAAAAGATATTTTAAGAAAATTAAAAAAAATAGAAAATGGAGAATTAGAAGAAGCTTTAGATGATGAAATAGAATAAAAAAGAAGATATAAAAAAGTGATGACAGATTCAGATTCTTCATCAGCTTGATTTAATCATATTTTCATTAGTATTATTTTTATATATATATACAAAAATTTATCCTTGAAATAATTTTCATAAGAAATTGTAAACCTAAATTTAAAAATAGATTAGATAATTAATAAAAGGAATTAGGAGGATTTATTTACAATTCTCTTATTTTATATTATATTTTGATATGTTTGATCATTAACTTGTCTTCTTAAGTTCTTCTAATTCCAATGCTTTCTTTAAAGCTTCTTATTGATGTCTTGATTTAATTCCTACTTAACCACCTCCAATAGTTCTTAATAATTCATGATTTTCATTATAGTGTTATCTCAAATCACGAGCCTAGAATATATTAATTTATTACTAAGTTGTCGAATTCTGCTTAGTCTTCTTTTCTTACTTCAGTCAATGCTACACAAGTTGCAGTCTTTTAGTGTACCAATGCTCCCAATCTAGCCTTGTCTTTTATAATTGTATATTTATATACTTTTAACAAAGGCAAATGGGACTTCTTAACGTCTACATAATTATGGAAGCCAAACAACTAATTCAATTGGATCAACATCATAAGCAATCAAAACTAATTTGGCTTTTTTTGTTTCAACCAATGTAGTAACATGATTTAATCCGAATTTTAGAACAGTCACTTTCTTGCTATCTGTCTTCTAATTTTATGCCTTAGATTCAGCAGCTTTGACTAATCTTTATTTCTTTTCAGTTTTGGTTTCTGGGGCATATTTCTTTAAAAGAGCATAAACCTTTGAACCTTAAAATAAAATATACAAATACTTTGATTTTTGTCGAGTGTTTTGCTGAATTGATGAATGGCTGCTGGTACTTTGATTCTTTGCAATAAAATCTTTTTTTATCTATGTAAAAGAATATAACGAGGCCATCTGACATATCTTGATAAATCTCTCTTTGGTTGGACATCATTTCCTATTCTGAAGTTTTTGGCCTCTTTAACAAAGAGTGGGTTCTTCTTTCTATCTGCTACTTTCTTTTAAGTCTTCTTTGCTTTGGATGTCTTTGGAGCTTTTGGCTAAAAGAATTATCACAATCAAATTTACCATTGTTAATGAAAATCTTTTAATATATTTTTTGAAAATAAAAGAAAAAACAAGCCTTAATATTTAATAAATTCATATACTTTACATACCCAAATAAATTGAAAATAAGATCATTATAAAATCAACATAATGATCTCAATTCAATAAAAAACGAATTGATTGATAAACTAATACTTATTCTATAATACAAATGAATAATTCTCTAATTTTATTAAAAAAAATAGATATATAATTGTATAAAAATGAATACTAAAAATCATATAAATGATATATATAAAATAATCATCATCCATCTAAATCAATTCCTTAAGCTTATAGTGCTTTTAATATTAAAACTTCAAATTCATGTATACTAACCTTCTTATCCTTATTTAAATCTGTCATTTTAATCCAACTTTCTATTTCCTCGTTAGTAGGCACATATTTCTCTTCTGAAATCAACTTATTTGTTTCAATTAATAATTTTGGTACCTTCATAATATATTTAATAATACTTCATCAAAAGTAATGAAACCATCTTTATTAGTGTCAGCTAATTCAAAAATAGATCTAGCAGCCTTTAATCTTGCTTTAGCCTAATGTGTTTATGGTTTTGCTTCATTATTATTCATTTTTGATATATATATAATTATAAAAACAGATTTTAAATTTCATTTTTTCTTTATTTAATTATATTTCGTTTTTACTAATTTTTCTTCAACCTTTACTTTCTAAAATTATACTTAAGCTTATTTCAATTATAACTCCAAAGTGTTAAATCTTTCATTTAATTTAATTCTCTAATTGAAAACTTTATTTAAATTAGCATTTTCAACTATCAAAATGTGAACTCTTTCCTCTAGATCAAGAATCAATTAAGTAATATAGTCTGTTGTAGAGTTCTTTACAAGATCAAGCTGAGAAATTTCATATTTTTATTAATTCTCTTTTATTTCATCCAATTTTCTTTCATTTTCTTTTATTTATTATATTTATTATTCAATATTTTATTTAAGTTAATTCAAGTCTCCTTTTTATTATAATTCTTTATTCTCTTAAGTTAATTTTTCATTCATCTAAGTTAATAATTAGATTTTTTATTGTAACTCTTTTATAAGAGTATTTGATTAACCGCGTTGAATTTCAGAAGTCAAATTAAGTATTTACTTCTAAAGATTATTGTTTTTTTATTTAAAATAATCAAGTTCTTATTTAATATTATGAGTAGTAGTATTTCCTATTTTAATAGGTGACTAAGCTGAATGAATAGATAAATTATAAGGAGACTAAATAGTTTTTATTTCTTTCCTTGTTGTTAAGGGTGATCTACAATTAGGAGAAAGAATGGTTTAAGTTTTTAGTTTAGTATTTCTAGGACTCATATACCCAACATTATTATCTTATCGAGAATCAGGGACAGTCGAAAGTTTTTATTTTGTTATTTAGAATTGAATCTAATAATTTATATCTTAAGTCTTAGAAGTTTGAGATCTATAAGTGTTATGATTTGAATCAATTGGTGATAAAGGCGATCGAGTTTGCTACATAGTTAATAAATAATATTTTAAAATATTAACGATAAATTTAATAACAAAATAATAATACCAAAATATGAGTTATCTAAAGAAATAAGAATGCTATATAAAATTAATTAAAGATGAATTACTATCTTTTTTTATTATAGTTTTATTTTAGATCACACTTATCCATATTAAATTAATTTATTAATATATTATGAAAGAATATTTTGACATCAGACTTGTTCTTTTTTTATTTTATTCTTTTTCTAATATGGTTAATTCTATAATATTTTAAAGATTTGTTTTTGAATATAAAACAAGGAATACAAACAAATTTAGATTTGTATAATTTATTTAAATCTAGAATTTATAGATTGTTACAAATTATATTCATATTAAAGTAGATTATTCAGTTGTAATTTGATCCAATTCATCTACAAATAATACTTTTTTAAGTCTTTTTGATAGATTTTTAACTTTCTTTACACCTTATACTTTAATTGATTGAGCATTTTTTATTGTGTTCTCATATGTTTATTGTAATACTTTTAGGTCTTCATTTGACATAGTATTGATTAATTCAGCATATCCAAAAAATAATTTTTTTTTCATTCTCTCATGTAAAGTACCAAATTAATCTCTCTTATTTCCAAGTTTTCTTTGGAAACATAGCTTATATATCCCTATTAATAAGAATAATGGAGCTATTAATAAAACACAAAAAATGAAAGACATTTTAAAAAATAAGTATTATTTAATAAATAATTCTTCTGGCTATAATAATTATCGAATGGCAGTTTTTTCTAAGCAAACTATAATCAATGATTTATTATTCATTAATTAATCAATTAATATTGGTTGATTTCAATCAAAGATATGTTTTATATTTGGTTATATCATTCATTTTTTATTATCTTCATATATGTAAGGAATATAATTATCATTTGTAGATTCAAGAATTTTATAATGACCTTAATAGGTTATCAACTCATATAAAATGCTAGATATCTATATGTAGTTTGAAATTCTATTATTTATTATGAATTTTACGAGAAACTATTATTGTTATATAAGTAAAACAGAGTCGATGATAATTTATTTATGAGGTTATTAATCATTTCATCACTATTCAATTATGTAATTCAACAATATATCCTTAATAAACTCTATCTTACTATTTGATACATTGATTAAACTAAAGTGGATTGCTGACATGAAGATTCATTATTTACGATCATCTTAACTTCAACTATATTAAATAAATTAATAATTTTAACCTATCTATTAATAGGATTAACTTATAAAGAAATATAAATCGAAGTATTTGTTATGTTACTCAATCCTAATATTTTATCATTTAAACTAATTCCCTCAGAGATTAGAATTACATAATTTGATTAAAATATTTTTTAATTAAAACATAGAAAAGAAATTCTTTAATTTATATAAATGAAGAGAATGCCCTAATAATTTGCAAAGTTTAATATATTTTAATGTACTGTTGTAATTTAACTCAATCAAACAAACCTCCCATATCAACATCTTCTTCAGGTTCTGGGTCCTTTGGTTTTTCAGCTGCTTTTGGTGCTTCAGCTGGTTTGGCAGCAGCTTAAGTTGGTTAAGCAGCTGGTGCTGAGCCTGAACCTCCTCCGACTGAAAGAAGACTTATAATGTCTTTTCCTTCAAAGGCTCTGACGAATTAGGTTGCCAATTATGATGGAACATTTACACCAGCCTGTAAAAATATTTCAATTTATGAATACTTTCTTTGTAAGTTTTTCAACATTTTCAACTGTTAATGGAGTTTTGGATCCAGCCAATAAAAGAGCTGCGTATGCTACTGCTGTTGCCTAATTTGCCATAATAATAATTATATTTTTAAATTAAAAGATTTCCTTTATTAATTAAATGTGAATAGTTCTTCAGAAAATAATATAAATTCTTTAACTATTTCTTTACAGATCATTTCTATAACTATAAATGTATAAATGAGTAGTAATTATAAAACAAAATCAAATTGATTCTTTCAAAATAATTCATTAAATTATCTATAATATAAATTTAATATACAATTATATTTTTTAATTGCAGAAGAAAAAAAAAAGAAAATTTAATAAGAATTCTGATATTATCATTATATATAGTAGAAATATTAATAGAGCAAATAAATTGTAAGGATTTAAATTTGAAGAAAAACCATTAATTCTATTTTTGGTCTATTTTGCAATCTCTAAATAAAACTTCTATAATCAAAATTGATACTTAATCTATTTACTTCTTGAAGCATATCATATTTACTTGATATATTTTTAATTAGCCAATTCTATTGTTTATGAATATAAATAAGAATAATTAGCATTTTAGGAAATTTCTTGGATTAATCCATTGTTAATATTTATTTTTCTAAATTAAAATAAAAACTATTGAAATCTATTCCAAATCATATTGCAGTAAATATCTATACAAAAAAATTTAAATATATTTAAAGATAAAGATAAAAAAATGGTCTCGGAGGGGATCGAACCCTCGACCGTCAGCTTATTAGACTGACGCTCTAACCAACTGAGCTACGAGACCTGTCTTGATTATCTATTCCTCAATTTGATTTTATGGTCAAAGTATTAAAAATCTAAAAATTATAAATCAAAAAATAAATTAAAGTTTATGATTTGAGTATGAAATAACTTTTAAGGTTACACTTAATTAAATTAGTAATATTCAAACATCAATGTTAATATTAATTTTAATGTGATTAGTAGTCTAAAATTTTGTAATTAAGAATATTTAACTAATTTATTTCCTATTAGGAGTACTTACTAGTTGTTTATCTCACCATGAAGAATGGAAGTTGGTAATTGCTTGTAGATTGTTTGTTATTAATAATTAGTAAATATTAATATAGTTATTACACTGATATATTAGTTATTACAACTGATTCCATCACTATTAATCTTTATTACAACCTTAAAAAAGATAATTGATTGAGAAAATGAAATAAAGTTTAATATATTATATACTTTATTAGAGTTTTTTAAAATATATAGTGATAAATCTTAATCTATCTATTAAAAGTAATAAATATATTTTTTACAATACTTTTATTATTATTAAATAAGGCGCAATTTTTACATAATTAAAAAAAATCAGAAATTAAACTAATAATAGTGAATTGAAATATGACAGAAAGAGTTACACATTTAACTTATGAAGCTTTAAAAAGTATGAAGGAATAACGTAATGATACAATAAAATATTGTGTTTAAATATTAGAAATAGAACAAAAGAATGATATGAATACAAAAAATGGAACTCTATATTCATGTATATGTAGTGATGGATTTGCAAAAATGAATATGCTTATACTTAATCTAAGTCCTTCTATATTAATAAATATCTCAAAAATGAAACCAATTATTAGAATCTTAGAATTAAAGATTAAATAAACATATTATATAGTAACCAACTATGAAGTCTTATATTTAGATAAAATTTAAGTTGGTTAACCATTGCCTTATGATGATTATAGAAAGATGGTATTTATTTAATTTACATGTTTAGAATTTTACAAATCCAAATGGAAATAATGAAATTTAATTACCAAAAGCTCCTCATTTGTTCCAAATAAATGAACATAAAAAATAATCCATACAATTATAACAATAATAAAAATATGAAAATGATAATTTTGATTAAATGTAAACTAAATCTGGGATTAAACTTTCAATCAATTAAAAATAATAATAATTTAAACCAATAGAAAATCAATTATATTAATCACCTTCTGATTAAAATATATTAAAAATATCAGAACTCTATCCTGGAATGAGAGGATTCAAAATTAAAGGAAGAGTTATTTAAAAATCAGATATTACTCCATTTAAAAATAATAAAGGGCACTTATTTACAATTGAAATTATAGACTCTGAAAAATAAACTATTTCAGGAGTATTCTTTAACACTATATGTGAAAAATTTTATGATTAAATTGAAATTGGAAAAGTTTATTATTTTGAAAATGGTTAAGTAAAAACAAATAGATATTCAACCAAAAATAAAAATTAAAGTGATTATCAATTACATTTTGAATCATTTTCAAAAATATCTCTTACCTAAGATGATAAAGACATTGATGTTTTTTCATTCTAAATTAAAACTATTGAAGATATTGATAAATTATAAATAGATGATAAATGTGATGTACTTGGAGTTATAATTGATATTAAACCTATGATTTAAATTATGACAAAGTCAAATGAAAATAAATCTAAGAAAAACATTACTTTATATGATCAGACTTAAAGAGGAATAGACATATCTCTTTGGGGATCATAGGCAGAAAAATGGTAATTTTAAAAAGATGAAATTGTAGCATTTAGAGGATTAAAAGTTACTGATTACTAAACAGTTAGAAGTTTAACAGTTACAAATTCAACTATATATGAAAAGGATTTATCTCGATTAGAAAAAATTAATGGATTTCAAGAATTTTATGAATTTTATTGTTAAAATAAAGATTTCTTAGAATCAAAACCAAAAGAATCAAAAAAGAAATTTGCTTTATCATATATTGAATAAATAAAAAAAGACTTTGAAGGAATTAGAGACAATAAGCTAGTAAAATTCTATGAAATCAAAGCCTTTATAACAAATATATTTACTAAATAATTATATTATGAAGCATGTGAGAATTGTAAAAGAAAAATTATTTATATACAATAAAAAAAGTAATATAATTGTTAAAATTGCAATATAAATTATGATAAGCCATGTTACAAATATATGTTTAATGCTAAAATTGCAGATACAACAGGAAATCTAATTGCAATTGTGCCTAACGATTAAGGATAATAAATATTATGTATTTATTTATATATATATATTGTAGAAATTTCATGTGAAGAATTTTAAAAAAGATCTTAGATAGAGAAAGATGATTATATTAAAAGAGCAAATTTTTAATAATAAAGATTCTTAATAGTAGCAAAGATAGAAACATATAATGATGAAAATAGACCTAAATTCTACATAACATCTATTATTTAGGATGACGTGAATAGTGATAATGAAGAACTTTATAATTAGATAAAATAAATGCTAGACTAAAATAATTGATTTATATATTTTTTATATTTTATCTATTCATTTATTATTATTAATAATCATTATATAATTGAAAATATCAATCCTTTTTTTAATACTCTTCTCATTTTTATTCTAGAGTGGTCAAAATATTAGAAAAAAAATGTCTTTGAGAAAGATGGCTTTAAGAAATTTATGTACTTTTGAAATTAGATTATAAATAATTATAATTCTCTTGATCAAGTTGATTAAAATAGGATTATAGATAAGATTTAAAAATTTTATAAAATAAGAGGAATATCTAAAATGACTTTGCTTATTTAGAAAGGTTAAAGTACATTGAATTATATAAAGAGAGACTTTTTTATTATTTAGTTGATTCAAATTTGATTATATTATATTTATTATATTTTTTATTAAAAAAGAAATGTACTAGGATCCTCAAAATAATGAAGAAATTATATTGCTTTAAACAATTGAAAAGGAATTATCTACTGATTAATAAATCTAATAAATTTGCAAAATAATAGGATAATAAAATCAAAGTAATTTTATTTTTCATATTAGATCCAAGACTATTAATATTTCTATAAGAGTTATTCAAAATGCTCTTTAATTCTTAAATATAAAAAGATACCCTCTAAAAAGCCTTTAAA